AAGAGGTCGGAAAATCATCGTTATTGAGTGGGAAACACATGGAGAAAATCTTGTGAATGATTGCTGTATGAACCATGCAATCACCGTCAGAACATTTCACAACTTAACTTATTTTTCACCGTCGAACGACGGTTGTTCGACCACCAATAGACTTTCTTTCATCGGTGAAGTGAATTCACGGTGAATTCACCGTCGTTTGACCGTAGTTTGACCGTCACCAAGAATCCGCTAGGGTTTTTGTGATTTTTTACAGACAGTATTTACGCGAGAAATGACCGCATCAAGAATTAAAAGAAAAGCATTGTGAATATTCAAGATTATTATTTTTTAATTGCATTCAAATTCGTAACATCTATGCTTATTTTTACGAGCATGAATTTTTTTTTGTCCATAATTTGTGAAATATTGCAGAAAATTTCCGATTTTTCTGTTACTTCCATAATTGTTTCTTTTTTTTCTTTTTTTTTTTTAGACACATGTAATATCAGTGTATTTTTTATACTTGAAAGATTATGTGATATATATACATGTATAAATGGAATTCAAAAACATAAAAAAATATATATTCAGTACAACACATATTTTTGGAAATTCATTTTATTTATTTTAAAACCCATCAACAACATCTAGTAATATACAAAATTTAACAAACATTATTGTTTTTAGTTTTTTTCATTTATGAAAAATACATTATTATAATTTATTTAAAGTTGTGAAGACTGATAACACATTTAAATAATAACTAAAAATAGTTAACCACTCACTATTATTATGGGACACAATATCGAATTATATCTATTATTTTTGTTGAAAAATAAGTACTTGAAAAATTTTATCAAATTAACGTTCAAATTTACTTTCGAATAATAATTATATTAATAAAGATATCTAAATTTACTGGTCTATATTTAGAGATGTCCATTTTTTAAGTTTACGAATAATTAAAACTGTCAATTTTTTTACATTTCTAAATTTTCAATTGTCTTTTTATTGACTTGTCTAAATTAATTCTTTTCCATTTTTTTAAATATCTGCAATTTCACTTGTTTGTTTTATGGTTTGTCTAATTTCAAAGATATCTTATTTTTAAATTTTATAATTTTATGCTTATCTTTTTTAAAATAATTCCAATTTTTTTGGTAACTAAATTTTGAGATTACTACCTTTATTATTATCGAAATTTTAAATTATTCTTATTAGATAAAATAATTTTTTTATTATTTCTAATATAATATTTATATAAATTATTTACTTAGTGATTTCTTTATTTAGAGTTGTCCAAATTTTGATGTTTCCATTTTCCTTAA